AGACGGCGAGCTATGTACTCCCGTGCTCTATTTACGAGGCCTTCATATTTGAAAAGGTCAATAACACAACCATATAACCTCTCCATTACCTGTACGCGTCCCATGACAATGTATTCACCGGAACGCGTGCCGCGGGGAGCTCCAGCAACATCGGCGGAGTACAGGGGAACCGCGATGCCCTTCTTTGAGGCCACCTCACTTGCTAGAGTGGTGGCGCATAATATCCTCGCTAGCTCCTCCCCCAAGACAAGCTCCCTCTGTACGGTCAGCAAAAAATCCGCATCGTTGTCAAAAACCTGTCCAACTTTTACATGCACCCGGGTAATGCGCATCGCAAACACCTCATGGGTAGCCATGTCCTCAGCTTCCACCACTATGGCTGTCCCACCTCCGCCAAGTAGCTTATTTATGTGAACAAGCCGTTGTTGAGGCCCATCACCTTCCACCCAGTGTAATGGCATCACATTTCTCAAGAGCAGGTTCATGCCGACCAACTCCTCGTCGCCCGTGTGGCCCTTTGCAAGCCATTCTGCAATTGCGTCTTTTCCTTGTTTCACACCTGGAGGGAGCGTCCTCTCAAAGTGATCAAGCATTGGCAAGCCCCAGGCGTCGTGAAGGGACAGCGGGTCTTCAGAAGGCGGAGGAGTAACGGTGGATACTGAAGGCAAAGGAGAGGCCTCCTCCTCACTCGCTGGTGGATGCGAATGCGCATCCTTAACCTGTTGTTGCTGCTCATGTTCCCCCTCACTCGCTGGTGGATGCGAATGCGCATCCTTAACCTGTTGTTGCTGCTCATGTTCCCCCGTAGACCTCGACCGCATGACAGAAGAAGGAAGACGAGAAAACCCACGATAATCCTTTCCATCCTTGTGCCCAGGCAGCCGGCCAGATGCAGCCTCCTGCAGTTCGCAGAGGAGCGTGAAAAACAGCACAATTGCCATACCCACAGTCAAAAAGTTCACGAAGCTTCGTCCCCACGGGTTTCTGCGCTGAGTTCCTGTATCCCTGTAAGCCGGATACGCATCGTCCTTCACATGTGCATCG